ATTCAAATTGAGGAGAGTGATAAAACATAGCAGAATGTGATGCCAGAGATTCAGTTTCTGCACATGGAAAACTATAATATCAAGGGGTCTATGTTTTCAACAAATATAGTGTGTAAGAAATATTTTATTCATTTATGAGAAGATCATTTAAGAATTATGGATATTGTTTTACAGCCAGGCTCTCACACAAAGAGGAAGACGACAGAGAGAAAAGTAACATAGCAAATAGTATGGGGACTTATGACTAAGAACATTTAATTGTTTAGCTGTGGTGCTTTATAAAATTTTGTAGAAGTCAAATACTCTGATCATAAACATTGCGGGTAAGAGAAGGCTGCATTTAGACAAATCAGGATTTTTAGTTGAAATTGTTCAATAAATGCTGTGTCTTGGTTTACACATCATGCCAAACCATAATGGGTAGGTTTACACATCACACTATGCCAGAAAAGAGCAAACCATGTTGTAGCTTATTGTTCTGTGTGAACCAGCCCCCTGCTTTGTAAGCTTCAGCATGGAGCTTGTTAAACAGTTCTGGATTATTTTTCACACACACACACACACACACACACACACACACACACACACACAACACACACACACACACACAGCACAGTGGCTAGAATGCAGTATTGCAGGCTATTTTTGCTGGCTGCTGGCTGCCTGAAGTTCGATTCTCACCAGCTCAAGGTTGACTCAGCCTTCCAGCCTTCCAAGGTTGGTAAAATGAGCACCCAGATTTTGTGGGCAAGTTGCTGACTTTGTAAACCACTTAGAGAGGGCTGTAAAGCACTGTGAAGCAATATATATGTCTAAGTGCTATTGCTATTGCTATCTTCAGTTCCAGGAAGTAAAAATACAGAAACTTCATTGCCCATATTTTCAAGTTTCCTTTACACTAAAAGAAATATGATGTTCTTAATATACTTAGCTCCACATCGGATAATAGATTCAGTGTATACAGTGGGGTTGAAATGTTTGTGAATCCTTATGAATGTACAATATTTCTGCTTAAATATGATCTAAACATGATCTCCCTATAAGCCCTAAAATTAAATAAAGAGACCCCAAATACACAAATGTATTTCAATATTTAATAATTGAGGAAAATTATCCAAAGCTGCATTGCCTTAAGATAATTAAAAAATATTGAACATTTAAAAGGGTTCAGAAAATTTTCAGCTCCACTGTAAGTGGAATTTTCACACAGCTTTTTAGAACTTTAATCCACTAGTTGGAAAAATAAGGAAGTGAACTGCTGGTTTCCTTCCTTGAAATATCTGTGCTGATTTCTTCTTAACTGAAAGTTTATTTACCCTCTTGGGTAGTGTTGAATATTAAATCCAAAAAGTCTTAGCTTGCAGAAAAGTATTATTACTATGCTCTATATAAGGACAGTGTGGGGTGTGGCTTTTACACACAAAAAGTGTGACTTGTGAAGCTATCCACTGTCCTTTGCAGCTAGCTGATCAACAAGACCCATGGCCAACAATGAACACATCGCTATTCAAGCTCTTTGGAGCAGAAAAGGCTTTCTGAACCTAAGCTGATTTCCAGTTTAATAAATACAAACCAAATCTAATCTACGCTCCCTTGCTGAAAAAGTACTCAAATGTAACTCTAATAATATTAATAAATCCCTGCAAGATGGGAAGATTGTAGAATCACATTCAAATAACTATTAATCCATGTAGTTGCTTATGGCAGATATACACAAGAATTCCCTTAGAATAGCAGGTTATTTATTTATTTGTTGCTGACATTCTACTATACAATGAATTCTGCATTTTCAACCTGGCAAGGCCACATTATCTAAAATGGGTGGAGGGAGACATTCTCACAGATTGTTGCATTAAAAAAGAAAAGAAAAGAAATATTACCTCCTCCCCCTTACTTGCTCCCTCATTTTTATTAGGAAAGCGACCAGCTTTCTTTTGTTGGAGGCAACTTTTGTTCCTCGGTCTGGGACTCAGCCTTAAATTAAGTGTCAGCCTTATTACCAAACATATCTGCTCAGTGCGTCCCTGCTCTGCCAACAGTTTACCAAGGAGCATTTTATCCCCTTCAGGAAGGCTGAGCAGCATGAAAAATATCCAGCCTGTTGTGTCAAAGTGGTTTTCCTCCATCCGCAGGCTTGAATTCCTTTGGTCTCTCTCAACCGCCTGCTCTTGAGGACTCAAAGCTGCCAAGCCATGATGTCAAGCAGCCTTTTCTTTCCCTTCCCCCCTCAGTGCCCACATTCAGCCCTGTGGCTGTTTAGGTCTCCCCACCCCCAGCCTTGTGCAGCTGAAAATCCCAGTTGATTCAAAAGATTCAGGCAGTTCTGAGTGGCCCACATTAGCTGGGCATGTTTCCTTTCTGCCAGATGAATGAAAGGGGCTCACAATAAAGCTGCCTCCCACGGACACACTCTACACACCAAAATGCAGGGCCCTGCCCAAATCAGCATAAATAGGATCACAATACAAGACTGCAGTTGTGTCAGGGATTTCCAAATTCAGCTTGCCAATTGTCTGACACTCTCAAGTTCACTTTTAGACTTCATAATTCCAACTATCATATTTTAGGCTGGAAGGCAGCATCTACTCAAATCTCTAGGGCCGAGAGATCTCAAAAAAGGTTTGAATGGACCATGGATGTCTTGCTTGCTGTTTGCTGGTTCACGGTCACCACTTGCAAATCATTTTACCTCACCAACCTGCTTTCTGCCGGGCCTCTGCTCCTTCTCCCCTTTCACCCTTGTATTAATTTGCAGTTAAGATAGAAAACAATATGCTTTTAAACAGAGGTAGCAATGCATTCAGACTTAAAGAGCTTTCCCCAAGACCACAATGGAGAGCCAATGAAAGCAAATATATAGACTGAGACTATGCAAGGTTTGCTACTTTAACAGCCTGGCCGACAGGATTTCTGATTTCATAGATTTTAGGGTTGGGAAAGGACAGTGAAGACTATCTAGTCCAGGACTGAAGGTGTGAAGAACCATTTCATGTACAGTTTCAATAAATCCAGCTTTCTCAATGTTTCATTGCACTGTGTTTAGAATTCATTTGTGTTCATTTTGGTGTGTGAGTTGTTAAGGGAGGTATGTATATTAAAATTATACTAAAGGGAGGTGTGATAGCAAAAAGTTTAAAAACCCTGATCTATGGCACCCTTCTGCCTAGTGCAAGATTTAAAGGCAATTTCGGGCATATGCAGGTGTTTATTATTTCATAATCAGTAAACACATTTTTGTGATGGTGTGGTTGTTATGACTGCAGTGAAATATGTACTCAGATCCACTCAGAGTGGTCATTTTCTTGACTATAATACGTGCTACTTCTGATAATCTATTCTTCTAAGAAATTCTCATTGGATACTTAATGTGTAGTTATTAAGCATGATGATAATAAGACATATGGAGAATGGGCAGTGAAATACTTTTTTGGGGTATTGATGCAATAATTTTGAAAGTCTACAGTGTTTTTCTTTCACCAAATGTGAAGTGAATCTGTGGTACTGGCAGTCCTCAACTTACAGTCCTTCATTTAGTGAGTGTTTAATGATGTTGCAATGGCACTGAAATATTAGATTCTTACAGCAAATTTTAAATGATCATTTTAAATGCTTTTTTTTTGTAAGTGTTTCTCCATTATCTACATTGAATGGTTTAAATTGTCTTTTTTCCCCATAGAACAAAGTTTTATATTAATGATTTAATATTTCTCGGTGTGTGTGTAGAATTTCTGTGTATACTGGCAGAACACTCTTTGTCCTCTCAATTACTAAGCCCAGTGAATGAACCCAACTATTTGCTGGTATGCACACCTGTGAAAAGGGGAGGGAAGGCAAACTCCTGTTTTTGATGCAAGAGGCCCATTTGCTGATCTGAATAACCTCAACAATCCATTCACACCTTTGTCTTTCTTCTTTCAGGTCTGAAGTCCCTTTTTCTATGTCTTTGTTTTTACTTGACAAGTCACACATGTTCTGAATAGCTGCTCCAAGCCATTCATCATTTATATATGTGTGTTTGTGCTTGTGTATTTGAAGGGGGAAAGAAGAGGAAAGAAGGCTGATAAGCTGAGACAAGTTGAGCAAAACAGACTTCTGATCTTTTTTTAAAAAAAGTTCTGAAAGCTTTATAGTTGCTTGGACACAGGTCATGGGCCAGAGAAGTGGCACTTCCAGGATTAAACTGCCCAGATCTCTTTTTTTTTTAGCCACCCTTTTCACAGCTAGTTCTCTCATGTTGCTAAATTTTGTATCTTCCAAACACTGATTTATTTATTTGACTTATATTGCCCCCAATTCACTTAGAAGTGACCAGTTGAAAAAAAGAGGAAAATTGAAGGAGTGGTCTAGAAAGGATTGTCCCATAGCTGCTTTTTCATGAGGCAACTGGACTTTCTTGTTTTTCTTTGCAGACATTTTTCTTCTCATCCAAGAAGCTTCTTCAGCTCTGAGCTGAATTTAGATAAGAAACAAAACTTCTTCAAAGAAAAACAAGAAAGTCCAGTTGCCTCATGAAAAAGCAGCTTTGGGACAACTATGATCAGGATGACTGAGAATCTCCATAAATATTTAGAGAGGATTGCACAGGTTTGTACATCACCTACTTCCTGTGGAAGAGAAAAAAAAACAGTCTCCTGACCTTTCCAATTATCCTATAGTTCAATAAATGAAATGAGGCAGCAAACTTTTTTCCCCACCCCAAGAAAAAAGCCTTGGGGAAAGTGAGAGGGGACCTTAAGGTTCCACTTTTGTTCCACTTCCATGTTCCCAACTGGAGCTTGCCAATATTCAACTACTGCATAAAAATAAGGCAGGTAGAATGGAAGATAATATTGTTGTAAACACAGAAATGGGAAAGTTGACATTGATGCCTGGATAATTGACCATTAGGAACTGAAAGGTAGCTGCAGGAAGAAAAACCTTTGTCGTTTTCACAGATGATTAAAGATAGCAGTAATCCTGCTGTTTATTTCCGTTGGGCATTGGTCTTATGATATGCATACCTTTGCATGCTTTCCTGTGCGTGATGGGTTTGGTCATATCCCGATAGTAGCCTTCTTTGCAATAGTGGCAGTGACGACCAGCTGTGTTGTGTCGGCAATTAAGGCAAACACCCCCACTCTTACGACCAGATAATTTGTAGAGTTCCATGTTAAAACGACACCTTCTGGCATGCAGGTTACAGTTACAAGCTGGAAAAAAGGAGGAAAAATAGAGGTGTAAAGTTTGGTGGTTCTCAGATACTGATAAATTTGGCATGAAATGGTATATTATCTAGCTATATTATCAGCAAACAAATATAAAATAACAACAAGCCCCCAATTCCTGGTCACCCACATTCTGTAACATTGTATGTCAGCTTCTGCCCTAGAAGATACTTTAATAAGACTTTAATTAAAATGTTAGACTTTTGTTGCTTTCTCTAAAACTATCAAGAAAATAACACAAAAAAGGTTCCCTAAAGTGGTGTCCTTCAATATGTTGAAGACTGCACAAATCCATGCCACAAATCTCTGACTCATCATTATGGGGCTTTGATGTAGGGTTTATTAATCTGCTTATACAGTGAAACTTTATAATCCATTCTAGTTTCTTGGTTTAGTTCATGCTACCAGTGGGAAATAAAGGCATGACATTTGCTCATTGTATTTGATAGCTGATATTATTAATTCTTTGTTCTGAAACTGTAACACAGTTTCTAAATTAATTCCTGCTGATATAATTCCATTCTCTCACTCAACTATATCCAAAGCTTCGGTTTCTGAAATCCTGTTTGGAGTGTTCATTTGCAAATTCTATACAGAACATGAATCCTTTTCTATAAACCCCACTGTAACGCATAAAAACATAATTTCATTCTAAGTTTATATTTTAAGCAAATACATCATCTACAAATTTACTTACATAAAATATCAGGGAGGTTTTAAAAAAAAACAGAGGGATATTCAGCACAATATCCTTCTTTCAGGATAACATAGATGCTTAAAAATCCAACAAAGCAAAGTCATTGGATTGTCCTAGGATTAGGCACAAAGGCCAAATTTTAATCCATGAGCACTCTGGTAACCAGGATTCAAAGTTCTAAAATGCAACACTAAAAAAATAATATTTTTTTAAAAATCAAGCGGGAACACATCTGGTCTCTGACATTATCCCAGCTTGGACTGCCTTGAACTGCATTCATTCATTCATTTTCAAGCTGTAGAGCCCATTCATACAAAGTTGTTAACTTTTGACACTTATCTATTCATAGAACTAGTTATAAGCAAGGCTGTCCATTTAAGAACAGTTACTCCTGAAGTCTTCATTGCAAGCACTTCTTCAACTGCCAGCTAGTTACTGAAACCTCTTCAGGAATCTGCACCTTCAGGGGCTCAGCAGACTTTTGCCTTCATATGAAAGTGAGGTCCTATCCTTGCTTGCACCTAAAAGGACAGTCTGTTGTTCCTTCCCCTGAGTATGATCAGATAATGAAATCTGGCTTCGACTATTCTTCTAGGCAGCTCAGGTCATGTCACTAATTATATTCTAAGGCTTCTAAGACTTCTGTATCATGGGAAGTAGATACCCATTTCTCATTCAATCAGTTCTAGGCAATTCACGGATGCAATGTCCTGCGGGTTGTAGTTCATTCCTTCGCAGATGAAAGCAATACTCTCGAGCACAGAGATCCCCAACTTTTTGGGCACCAGGGACCGGTTCTGTGGAGAGAGGTTTTTCCGTGGACCAGAGGATGCATGGTTTTGTGTGCTGCCTGCATCTTGTGGATGGGGCTTTGCTTGTTTGTGCGGACTGGTTGCTGGCATGCCACGGCCCGATACTGGTCCACGGACTGGGGGTTGGGGATCCCTGCTCTAGCACAAACCCTGTTCTGGTCCAGTCCCTATTCCCTGCTTGTCTGGCTGTGAATTCCTTTCCCATGGGATTCTTTGCAGAGATTAATTAGTTTATTATTAGAACTGCATCTTATTCAAGCATGCCTCTCACTCACTGGTTGCTTGTTGCTCTTCTTGTGTTAATGTTAACATTCCTTCCAGTTTCTCCCTGCTTTCATTTGTTCTAAAACTATTGACTTCCACCACAGTATGTCACAAACACGTCCCTATTTATCACAACAGTGTTTCCAACACAACCAATTATCCAACTTGCAGAAAACTCCAAGTATCTGCATGTCCCTGGTTCCCTCCTCCCCTCACTCCCCCATTTCTAATCCTGGTCTAGTTTGGAGGGCAGCGACAGTTTTATCACCAAAGTAACCATTAAGGAGCTATGTTACTTTGCCAAATCACTGGGGTTTTGTTGTGTCTGGGGTTCTGCTACTATTGTCCTATCACACATTACAACACATCTTAACTATTTTTGATCCAGAGCAGACACATATTACTATTTATGCTCCACTTTCTTCATGCACCTGTTTACAGAAACAAGGCTCTTCAAAAAAAACTTTTGGGATATTTTGCATATATGCAAAAAAATATTCTTTGGAACTTTCATCCTGAGGGGGATGGATTGGGAACCAATGTTTTATCTTTCTGGAAAGCCCAGTTTCTAAATATCCTGTCCTTGGACAGCTGGCACTTAGCCAGCATTCACTGGTAATACAGTAACTGTTTTTAGCCTCTTAAGCTTCATGCTGCCCAATAGGGGAATTGGCCTTAATAAGAAATACTTTCAACCTTTCCCCATTCATCTACATCCAAAAATAAAGGAGTGATGCTAATACACTTAATAAGAAAAAGGAGTAAAGATTAAAGGCTGATGGATGGTCAGGAGGAGTTTGAAATGTCTGCTATTCATATCAGTGAAGAAAAAGGAATGTGAAGTTGACCTTGTTTTTTAGCAGTTAAATCCTGTGGTATGATAAATAGTTTTTTCTTCTGAACTTGTGCAGAGTATATATCAATAAATAGCTCACATAAAGGAAGAGGAGCTGCAATTGTAACTCCTGAAACCAGCTTATTCCTCAATCATAATGATGTGGGAAGAACTAATGCAGTAGAATATTATGCATGGAAAAGGTCTAACCCTTGATACTTCACATTTGAAGATAGGTCTGGAATAATTTATCTAAAACAGCAGAGAGCTGCTAACATTCACAGTAGTAAAACTGAAATAGAGGTCCTTGTCATCTGTATTACATGTTGGCAGGAGTCACACTAGGAGTCAAAAATGACTTGATGGCACATCATCAATCAATCAAATAGCAACTTTTCTGCAGTGTTGCAGCGTTACTGCTCCTCTACCAACATTTTTGCTGTCCTTCCCATCCCAGCATGATGGGCAGAACTAAGTGAGCATAGTGTGATTCAGAAGAAGGAAGCTTCCTATAATTTCTTTTTAGCATGTTTGGCTGGGTCCTTGTCTCCATGTCATTCAGACCTTTTAATCTATCCTATTTAACATAAATGAACCTGGGGGTAAATGAGGTTCTTGATGCTCTTTTGGTTGTTTTCTTGCATATTCTCCTTTATCAATAAATGAACTCGTGTATTGTATAGTACAACAGTTCTCAACCTGTGGGTCATGACCCTTTTGGGGGTCGAATGACCCTTTCACAGGGGTTGCCTAAGACCATCGGAAAACGCGTATTTCCGATGGTCTTAGGAACAGAGACACTGCTCCGCATCCGTCTCCGCATGGCCTCCTCTGCCATTTGCAGAGAGAGAGAGAGAGAGAGGCACTTTCGCTTTCCTTCTCTCTCTCTCTCTCAGGTGGAATTACCTCCTGCAGGGCTCCTGATTGGTCCTGTGCCTGGGTGCCCCACTCCCTGGAAGAAGCGTGGCCTGGGCCTCGTGGCCTTGGAGCCACCCGGGGAAGCCCAGGGATCCCTGCTGGGAGTGGCCCACTGGAGGCTCCGCTGAGCGGGCCAGCCCTCCTGTAAGTCGTGGCCCAAGGGAGAGCAGCCCCTGCGATCCCCAACCAGCCCAGCCATTGGACCCGCTGGCCAGGAAGACGTGCAGGAGTCCAGGCTGCCGAGAAGGAAGAAGGAGATTCAGCAAAGGTAGGAAAGGAGAGCTGCCTCCTGGGGCCCAGCCCTGGCGGCGGCTTCCTTGCCATCCTCTTCCTCCTCCCCTTCTTCCTCCTACTGCCCCCAAGGCGGCTCAGGCGGGTGCCGGGGCAAAAGGGGTGCCTGGGGTGGAGCAGCCGGGCTGGCAGAGGGGCTGGCAGGAGCCACGTGGTACCAGCTCGCACCACGGCTCCATCGGATGGGCGGAGGGCGAAGCCAGGCAGTGCAGAGTCCGGGCTGGGCCAGTGGCAGCGGTTTTCTTGCCCTTCTCCTCTCCTTCCTCCTGCTGCCCCCAAGGTGGCTTGGGCAGGTGCCGGGGCAAAAGGGGTGCCTGAGGGGGGAGCAGCCGGGCTGGCAGAGGGGCTGGCAGGGGCTGCGCAGCACCAGCCCCCACCACAGCTCCATCGGATGGGTGGAGGGTGAAGCCGGGCAGCGTGGAGTCCCAGCTGGAGTAGTGGCAGCGGTTTTCTCAGCCTTCTCCTCTCCTTCCTCCTGCTGTCCCCAAGGCAGCTCGGGTGGGCACCGGGGCAAAAGGGGTGCCTGGGGGGGAGCAGTCAGGCTGGCAGAGGGGCTGGTGGGCCATGTGGCTCCAGCCCCCACCGCAGCTCCATCGATGGATGGAGGGTGAGGCCAGGCAACACGGAGTCCCAGTGGGGGCAGTGGGTACCCCCGATGATGCAGCAGTGGCCGCCGCCAGAGCTGCTGCCTCCCATCCTGCTCGTCCTCCCTGCCCGTTCAGCTGAGGACGCTGTGGAGGCCTGGCCGGGGGCAGCGGGGACCCCCAACGATGCTGCTGTAAGAGAGAGAGAAAAAGAAAGAGAGGAAAGAGAGAGAAACAGAGGAAAAGAGAGAGGAAAGAGAGAGAGAAAGAGAGAGAGGGAAGAGAGAAAGAGAAAGGGAGGAAACAAAGCAAGAGAGAGAGGAAAGAGAAAGAGAGAGGGGAAAGAGAAAGAGAGAGAGAGGAAAGAGAGAAAAAGAGACGAAAGAGAGAGAGAAAAAGAGAGAAATAGGGGCAGAGGAAAGAGAAAAAGAGGAAAGAGGGAGAGAGAGAGGAAAGAGAAAGAGGAAAGAGAAAAGAGAGAAAGAGGAAAGAGAAAGAGAGAGAGGAAAGAGAAAGGAAAAGAGAGAGGAAAGAGAGAAAGAGAAAGAGGGAGGAAAGAGAGAGAAAGAGAAAGAGGAAAGAGA